TGTGTTTATAGTCCCAGTTCATTCCCTCTGATTGGATCAGGTCGCGAATCGAATCGAATTGGAGCACGCCGGACCCACATGTACTCCGCCAGAAATACGCACACTATACATGTCCGGGGGAGCGGTCCTTGGGCCGGGCAATTAATCACATCCTCTGCCGAGATTCATCTCCAGAGGCCCTTCTCCTCCTGGTCCAGAGAGGACTCCGGCCCCGCCAGGGCCCCGCAGTGGCGCTCGCTGCCCTCCCGGCTTATTTGTGCCCCGACCCCGACCCTCGTGCCGCTGCTCCGGCTTCTCTTCCCCCTTTGGAGCGTCTGGACCACAGCTTCCCGATGTCAATCTCCGGGGGGCTCCAGAGGGCGCCGCCTCTCTGCCTCTCCAGCGCCGCCGCTCGCTCCGGCTCCCGCGCTACCGGCCCGGGTAATTGTCTTGCTCGGTCTGGCACCGTGGATTAGCTGCTGTCCGCCTCATGGCACCCTGTGGCCAACCTGTGGCCGCCTCCCGCCTCCCTGTGGGCAACTCGAGGGCGACCCCGGCGGCGCGGCGCTCCCGGCTCCGGCCGAGGTCACACGGACCTCGGAGAGCCTCCCGCTCCTGGGTTCGAACAAACCAGAGCGTGCGCCGGCAACCTTATAATGTTGTTGTTTGTTTTACCCTGTCATGTGTCGTTTGTAGCGTATCAACCCTCATCATCGTAGCAACAACGACAAGCGGAGGGGTCGGTCGTGAGGGGTGCGGTGGGGCGGGCGGGGCACTTTGGCATCTGTCATGTCGGGGAGTGACAGGAGTCATCCCCGCGCCGCATCCGGCGCGGCCCCACCTGTGTGGGAGAGACACGGGGAGAGATAGTAGAGGGAGACGCCAAATCTGAGCAGGGGATGGAGCTGATGGACGCTATCTCAGCCGGCCATCTAGAGTGGCCGTCTCCTGCGATACTCGGCCGTGGTCAGGAGGCCCAGGTCTTCCCCGCCCGGGCCGGACGGTCGCCGAGGAGGTTATTCAAATCGAGCTTTTGGGCGGCCCCGCTCCGGCCGGCCTGGCTGATGCCGGCCGCGGCTGATGCGCGGCGGATAAGTTTTCCATATCCAGGGTGATGGGCTGGATCGGCCGTGCCCGGCTTCCCAATCAGACACTTAATCGATTTTTGGACCGGCGCGGGGCCTGCAGTACATATTGGGGGACGCCCCCCAGCCCCCCCTCCCCGACCCCGGCTGACAGAATCTGACTCACGCGTGTATAGAAGGACCCGGCCCTCCTATTTCGCCCCGCTGCGAAACGGCGGCGGTGGCGACGAGACTCACGACGACGCAGCGCAGCAGCTTCCAAAACACGGCCTCGTAAGGTTTCCGTCGCGCAAAAGGGCGACCCGACTGGAGATGCTCAGGTCGTTTTATTATGCCCCTCGCCGGTTAAACTTTTAGGAGGAGCCGAAAAGCCAGAAAATATATATACCGGTTTCGGATTCGCTGGTGTTGCTGCGCCTCGGTGGGATCACTGTCGCGGCGTTATCAGAGTGTCGCGAGGGGGGCGGGGGAAGGGGGGGCGGTCACCGGTTTAATTAGGGCTACCGGGCTCATTAGCTCAAATTCCGGTCCTGTCCCGGACAGAGCCGGCCGTAACGAGCTGTCGTGCGCGCGAGTGTGTAGTGTGTGTGTGTGAGAGTGGGTGTGCATGTGTGTGTTTTTGGCTCCGGACCCAAAGTTTGTCCCCTTTACACTCGAACGCGTATCGTTTTATTTCGTCTTTTCTCTCTCCTTTTTTCGCGTGACGCTCGTTTTTAGTGCCGGTCCCCCGTCTTTCGTGCGGCGAGCGGAGGGTGTGTGCGCTGGGCTTTAGCGACGCCCCCCTGGTAGGAGTCGCCGGGGGCGCTAGAGGCGAGCAGGTTGACTGTTGTTGAGCAGCCCCCCCTTCTGCTTCCTCTTCAAGCGCTCTCCATCGTGAAGGGACGCCCTCCCCGTCCAGCGACCGTCCAGCCACGCCCTTAGCAGCGCCCTCTCTCCCTCGCTCTCCCTTTGCTCTCACTCGCTCTCCCTTCGCTCTCACTCGCTCCCACCCTCCCTCTCTCCTCCCTCTCTCTCGGCCGGCCACTCCCCGCGCCCGGGGCGGCGGTAGTGGTAGTGGGTACCCGACGGGCGCCCCCGGGCAGCCGTGTGGGCTTCACGTGGGCACGTACCGATCGTGTACCAAGTGGACTACACAGTTAACGCCCACGCAGAATCGAACAATACTTTAAGAATTTTTACCGAACCGTGAGGTAGGTTCCCGCCGAACAGCTGTGCATTTTCACGAGTTTCATTCAGTGCAGCATATGATGCACGTTTATTTTCGCTTCATTCGCCTTCCCAATGTAATTTGGCCCCTCCTTTCTGCACAAACGTTCATTGGCTAGGTCTGACCCTGGTTTCATCTACCTTTCTTTACTCGGTCGGCAGCTCCTAGATTTTCTCCAGCAGGTCGCTCCAAAGGGCTTTTCTCCGGCAGCAGGCGGCTGCGCTGGCTGTGCTCCGCACGCCGGACCTGCGCCGCCTGCTGCAGTGGAGGCGACAACGAGGTCAATCTCCTCGGGATGTCGGCGGGCTCAGCCCCGGCTCGCCCCCCC